CAAGAGTTCTACATTGGAAGACTACAAGAGGTGGAGACTCCCCCCCACCTATAAAAGGGTCTTGAGTCTTGGGTATTGAATTCTTGGGCTTTGTACCTTAGGCCTCGGGCCTTCTTCCCTTTATCTTTGGGTCTAATCCCCTTGTACAAATGTAAACAAATATTATCATAATGAGAACATCTCCTTCTCCGTGGGCGTAGTTCATCATTCGGGTGAACCACGTATACCTTGTCTTCTATACGCTTATTTACTTTACTTACGCTGAATGTCACTGACTACCGAAGGCAATAACTTGCCGAAGGCACATACACATGCTGAAGGCCCACATCTTCATCCACCACTCCACATCTATCTAAGTTGATACCCATTTTTGGCGGCAATAGTTTGGTGTCGTCTGTGGGAAGTCGACACAAGAAGCTTCCATTGTTCTTCCCTTCCTTCAATGCCCTTCGGCACCCTTTCAGGCATCACCTTTTAGCTTACCGTTTAGCACCATCTGTGCCGAAGTCACCATGGGGTCTCAAGGCACCAATATGCCCAAGATACGTACTTGCTGAAGCAACCCACCCTTCAGTCATTTTGAAGAGTCTCAATTTGTGGGTGGCCAAATATTCCAAATGCGCCAATGATGTCACCATGCATGGCTTGCACATGGCCAAGGAAAAAATTGCTCCAATATGAAGGATGCCCACGTGCATCCTCACCACAAGATAAGATTTCTATTACATATGAATATTGTATACAAGCATATAAATAATTCATTGCACAATCTTATTCAACAATATGAATAGGGATATTTGTTGAAATGTCACCTGAACTTATACCTTAGTTTCAATTTGTCACCTGAAAAAATAATTTAAGTGAAATGTCACCTGAATTTTTCAAAATCCATGATTCGTCACCTGAGTTTAACATCAACTGATTTTCCATCTATTTTCAAGGGTATTTTAGTCTTTTCATTTTCAATGATATTTTAAAAATGGAAAAAATTATTATTAAAAACATAAAGCTTAAATGTAAAAATGGATGGGGATTAAATGTGAAAAGATATATAATTTTTATAATTTTCAAGGGTCTTTTCATAATTTTTTTATATTGATTTTTCCATTTTTAAAATACTCTTGAAAATAAAAAGACTAAAATACCCTTGAAAATAGTTGGAAAATTGGATGATGTTAAAGTGAGGTGACAAATCATGGATTTTGAAAAATTCAGGTGACATTTCACTTTAATTTTTTTTTTCAGGTGACAAATTAAAATTAAGGTATAAGTTCATGTGACATTTCAATGAATATCCTATATGAATATTAATGTATATTAATAATAGAAGCTTATGATATGCTTCAGAACTGAATCCATACGGTCAATCGGTGGGCCAATATGGTAATTAATGTGCATGTGGGCAGAAGATCCAATTAGAGCCCAGCATGCCGATGCACACAGGACGCTAAGGAGGCCACCAAGCCATCCAAATCCAAAATATGCGAGCGCCATACGACACTTCAACATCCAAACCAATCAATTGGCTAAGCCAAACAACAACCATGTGCTTCAGAATCAGAAAACCAGAAAAGCAATACGGATCGATCGGCACCCAGTGCTCATCTCTAATCATTTAGCTACAGCCAATGGCTTTCAAAAGTCATATCCACCTCCAAAATTCTGCCTAGTATCATACATCAGCCCTTATTAACCAAACTTACAAGGGAACTTGCCTCCTACAAAAGCTTCACAAGGCCTGAAGAAGTTTGTGTACATGCCTATTATTCGGCACCCTATGCCAAGAATTTTATCAAGCCACCCAATATCCAATTGGGCAACAACACAACACAACTGTCCTCTTACCATTCGGCTGAAGCATCTCCAAAATGATGCCACATGCGTCATCTGCAAGAGATTCCAGCAGCTGCTGCCAAAACCCATCTGCGCACTGCACTTAACACCAAATATAGAAGACATATATTTGTCAAAGTAACCCACTTTGAAGAGTAGAAGTGGGGACTCAAGTTTTTTCTATAAAAGTCTTTGATGCGTGCGATGCCTTCGGTGCGGGTGCAATGCCTTTGGCACCCCGCCTCTCTTATGGGTGCGATACCTTCGGCATCCTACCATCGTTCGGTACACCGGTATGCGAGATGCCTTCGGTACCCCGCTTTGCATGGAGCAGCTACCATTCAACCCAAATGTGGCTGTCACGTGGCATGGCAAAAGGAGCAGAGACTTCCTTTTATCTTTGTCCATTATCACCTAAAACAACTAAAATAATGCATGCACCATTATTATATTTATGAAGGTGTTGACTCACAACAAGTGCATCCTACCACCCCATTATTATATTTCCTCTTGTCTTTTACATGCCTTTCACCATTTTGGAGAATGCATGTCATCCTTAAAATTACCGAACGGCAGCGCCTATGTGACTACCTTGACCATCCTTAGTCAGATTTTGCCTCCAAATTATAGATCGGTACCTCTGCCTTAATCTCATGCATCACACTCCATCAAATTCCCGAACATTTGCAACAGCACAAAAAATGCAAATTGATTCAAGGCACCATGTCTTTAATCCAGAGTATAACAAACGGCACCTAAGCACATGTCAAAGACAATTATTGATCGGCACCCATGTCAGTAATTCTTTCAAGACACTTAGAGATCCAAGTCCAGAATAGATTCATCATCAGCAAACCCAGTTATTGTTCGGCACCTCATACGGCTCCAAGTGCAGACCACCGCTTTTCACCAAAGCAAAATGGCATAGGGACACTGATTGGTCAAGCCACTATGAAGGGCTACCTCCTCGGCACCCAATTATTCGGAAGCCTCAAATTCAAGAATTATCTCACATTTGAAGCAAAATACCATACCCACCTATCTGTCATACACCTAAAAAATTTATCACGGCACCCATAGGACCCAACCGGCACCTATTCTAAGCTGAGATTTAATCCTTCTGCTTCCAAAAGCTATCTACCATATGAAACTTCTGTCCATAACAGCTCTCAGCTCTCACTCTGTCAAACTCAACTGAAGGAATCATCGGCCATCACTGTTATAGAAACCTCATTCTTTCCGAATCTGTCATGCCACCACCACAAATAGCTATGTTCTTTGCACCCATTGACCTTACAGATCGGTAAGGCAATGAAGGAACGTGAAGGAGAACCCCAAACCATCTATTCTTCATCTGAAACTTCCGTACCGATCGGTAGGCCATCAACCGAGGATATGGGACAACCCCCAAACAATCCTATTTCTTTTCGGCTTGGTAGGCCAATTGAAGGAGTTTTTGGTCCTTCTTTAATTGAGTGCGGGGCGTGCGACACTAAGCCACAAATTTTGGCTTGAATGGAATGTGAGTAGATGGATATGTTGTATCCGAGATTTGACATTAATCAGACGATTGTTCGGTCGAGTAAGGAACCTCCTCACGGCCTAGGTTCTTTCACTACCTTGGGGTCAAGGCTTTATGTGAGCGACCAAATGATATGGAGTGGGTGGAGATGAAGATTGAAAGTGAAATGTAATGAAACGAAGAACACGTGCGTAAAGGTGCTTGAATTTAAATATAATTGAAAGACAAGTGCAAAAAGTAAAGTGCATAAGATAAATAATTTAAAGACGAGTGCGTAAAGTAAAGTGCATAAAATAAAGAGCATAAAGATGAGTGCGTAAAATAAAGAATGTAAAAACGAGTGCGTAATGTAAATTGTGTAAATTAAATAATTGAAATTCGAGTGCTTGAAGTAAAGTGCAAAAAGTAAACTAGATTACGAAAAACACTAAAGATTAAGCGAAGACATGAATTGAAAGAACTGCAATTAAAATAAAATTGAAAAACAAGAACAAGAATGTAAAGGCATAATTGAAATCTACGGAAACTGGAGCGGAAAAAATAAGAACTAGGCTATGGCTACATTATGCTACTCCTATGATAGAAATTGAAGAGAATGTAAAATCATAAGTTGTGTGTTGTGTCGGGGCTCCTTTCTCTCTTCCATAAACTTGGTATTTATAGGGGCATCGGTGTGTCTCAATTTGGTCAGTCGTTAATTGGCCTTTAAATTAATCATAATTGCTCCAGAATATCTTCAATCCCTTGTCTCATGCATATGATTTAATATGAATAATAATATTTCATTTGATTTTCCTTCCATCTTGAGCTCTCCCACAATAATTTCAGTTGACTATCAAGCTGGCATAATTCCTTCTATATTTGAATTGTAACCTATGAGAAAATCATCCTACGGATTATCTCTCTCCTTATTTAAGCATTGACTGATTTTATGTCTTCAGCTGCTTTTAGTCTTTTGATCGTATCTACTTTTTCGGCCACTTTTAGTCTTTCAACCGTATCTATACTTTCGGTCGCATATAGTCTTTCAACCACTTTTATGCTCCCAACCATATTGATGTGTTTAGCCAGATTGGTGTATTCCACCACATGTACATATCCTGCTACATTTATGATTTTGGGCTTCTATCTGACCTTATTGATTAGGTTCTTCGAAATATAGTTTGGGCTCACTATTAGTTTAATTGTTGGATCTCGGGCCTGACCCGGTCAAATTTCAACCAGGCCCAAACAAATCCCTAATAGATCAGCAATCCGCCATACCGATCGGCATCTTCATTGCTGAAACAATATGAAGCCCCACATCACTAACACAACGGCTATCTCCCTCAGCAACACAGCACCCTCGTTGCTTTGTACCAAGTATACCGATCGGGAAGACAATGACAGATTGTGAAGTAGGGCACCCAAAAAACCTCCTGCGATCGGTGACGAACGACAATTTCTTCGTCCTTGTCATTATGCACCAAATCATCTACCGATGGGCTAGGCATTTTCCAACAGAGGACTTCACGTGTGTAGCTCCTCTTATTTCTAAGGTAGAATACCAAACAAGGTGTGCGAATCTTCCTACATTCACTCTACGGCTGGTGACATATTCGTGAGTCAAACTAAGTATGCCAAGGATCTACTACATAAAGCTGGCATGAGTTCATGTAGAGCTTGTGCAACACCTTGTAAGCCACACACTCAAGTGTTACAGACTGATGGTGAGCCCTTGGCAGATCCCACTATGTTTCGCAGTCTAGTAGGTGCTTTACAGTATCTAACATTTACAAGACCTGATCTGGCCTATGCTGTGAATCATGTGTGTCAATATATGAATAATCCTACTGAGGTTCACTATTTTTTGGTGAAGCGTATTCTCAGATATGTACAGGGTACATTAGAATATGGAATCAGTTTTACAAAGGGTCCTTGGCAGCTTAATGCATACAGTGATGCAGATTGGGCAGGGGATATCAATACTAGAAGATCTACAACCGGATCTGTGGTATTCTTGGGTAGTAATCCTATCTCCTGGCAGTCCAAGAAGCAAGGTTCTGTGTCTAGGAGTTCAACAGAGGCAGAATACAGGGCCTTAGCAAACACAGCTGCTGACTTGTCATGGATTCGACAGGTTCTCTTGGATCTGAAGATGTTTCTGCCAAATGCTCCTCTTATGTATTGTGACAACTTATCAGCACTGGCTTTAAGCTCAAACCCAGTTTACCATTCTCGAATTAAGCATTTGGATATAGACTTTCACTTTGTGAGAGAGAAGGTACAAAGAAAGGATCTTATTGTCCAGTATATACCTACTGAAGAACAAATAGCAGATGTTTTTACAAAGGGGTTACACAGTCCCATTTTCTTACAACACTGTCTTCATCTTAGACTGAGGAGTTCAGCTGGGTAGGGAAAATGTTAACCATGTGTTTCAGTTAAGAAATTGTTAAGTCATCATGTGCAGCTCACGTGCTCTCTGTTAAGTCTGTTAGTGAGAGTTAGCTGTATTTGTTAAGTCTGTTAGCGTGATGTTAGGAGATAAGTACTGTACTAAAGCTGAGCTTTTATAATTCCTATTAATCAAGATCTGAAATACAGAATATACAGCTATTTTCCTTCTTGCTTCCTCTCTACCTTCTTCTATGGAAATCCCTAAATCTCATCCTCTTCTTCTTGTTAAGAAATAGGCTTCAGAAAAATGTCCACCTTCTCAAACCCATAAACCAATATTCATGGGTCTACCAAAATTAAAAATTCAGAAGATGCATTTTTAAAAAAGAAAGCATGGAGGACTTCTTCAACCCAAGTTTTCTCTCAAGTTTCTAGTAGGCAATTATGGGCCCCCTGAATTTGCAAATGGTTCTGGAACTCAACCAAATAAATTGATGCTCACTTATCTTGTGGGCCTCCACTGACTGAGCATTTGCTGAATTAAAAAAATAAAAAATAAAGATAGAAAAGGAAGAGCATGGGGACAAACCGATGTGTTCCTGCTCTCACATTCCAAGGAATGCGACATGCCTTCAGCATGATCCACTTTGACTTTCAATTAGTCTCAATATGGCCTTTGGCATATATATATATCAACATACCTTCGGCAACCCGTGCCCTTCTGTACCTTGCCAAGTTTCATGTCCTTTGGTAATTTTTCCTGCGACAAGCAAGTTTTATGCAAATGCCTTTGGCACGTTGCCAAGTTTGATGCCTTTTGGCAATTTTCTTTGCGACACACAAGTTTTATGTAAGCGCCTTCAGCATCCCATGCCCTTCAGCATTTTCTATTGTAACATGCAAGCTTTGCGCCTTTGGCACCCGAGTGCTTAGGCACATTGCCTTGTAACATGCAAGCTTTAGGCCTTCGGCACATTGCCTTGTGACATGCAAGCTTTGCGCCTTTGGCATTTTATCTTGTGACATGCAAGCTTTGCATCTTCAGCACCGTTGCACCTATGCACATTGTCTTGCGACATGCAAGCCTTTAGCTTTTGGCACCTACGTGCTTTTCAACACATTTTCTTGCGACATGGAAGTCTTGTACCTTCGACATCCCCTGCCCTTCGATGTACTATAATGCCCTTCAGCACCCTTGCATAAAAAATTGGGGACTTGCAAACCACTTGGGTTTTTGTTGCAAGTTCCCTCCCTCCAATGATCTTCTTATCTGGGGACTTAGGGGTGGGTAGTGCACTATACACCTTGGAAGATGAACTACGGTGTTGCTCGGCTAGTACACTTAAAAATTACAAATCCCCAAGCAAGAAGTATCTTCTTACTCGTGAACTTGGGAGACTATTGTTGACATCGTGACTAATCAAGAGCAACTAGCTAAGAAAGATCAACCACGTGCGATGTTTTGAGAGGTCATCACTTTAGCCAAAGAAGCCTTGCCACAAGTCACAACTAGGGGTAATGTCAAGAGTCCCACATTGGAAGACTACAAGAGGTGAAGACTCCCTCTCGCCTATAAAAGGGTCTTGAGTCTTGGGTCTTGGATTCTTGGGCTTTGTACCTTAGGCCTTGGGCCTTCTTCCCTTTATCTTTGGGTATAATCCCCTTATACAAATGTAAACAAATATTATCATAGTGAGAACATCCTTCTCCGTGGACGTAGCTGCTCATCCGGGTGAATCACGTATACGTTGTCTTCTACACACTTATTTACTTTACTTACGCTGAATGTCATTGACTACCGAAGGCAATAGCTTGCCGAAAGCACATACACATGCTAAAGGCCCACGTCTTCACACATCATTCACCACTCCCCATTTATCTAAATTGATACCCATTTTTGGCTTCAACATGTTCCTTAAAGCCTGCTAACCTGTTCGATTGAGTTCTGTCCAACATCGCTTGTCAGCGTCTGCTTGATTTTCCAGGGACCCAAAAGTGAAATATGATTAAATTAATGCATGAGACTCATACAAAACCAGAGAGAAAATGACATCAGAAAATGAGAATCAACACTGAGAACCCAAAGCTACAAAAATTTTGAACCTTTGAAAATAGCAAAAAGATCTCTCGATTCGTTTATCAGAATTTTTTTTCCTCTATTTCTCACCAAACAGAAGGGTTAAATAATTTTATCAAAATTATGGGTTTCTTTTCTTCATCATCTCTGAGCAAGTTTTAAATCAACCAAAGGAATCGTAGCATGTGAAACAGAAATATTGCCAAACTAGAAA